AAAGAACTTATTCTTTCGGAATCCCAGCATTCTATCTTCTCCTAAAGTTGCCTTCTTGAAAAGAGTTCCTTAGATTTTTGCAAATTAATAAAAGTAGTATCATCTGATAAACCTTCATAGTTACCTCAAACTAGCATATGAAGCAACATGTGAGGCACCTCTAAAGATGAACTGTTTTTGGCTCTCCCTTTGAAGTTAATCATTGCCTTAAAACAGAAGCCAGCGTGAGAAGTCATTCTTGCTAGCTAGTTTACTTCCACCTTTTACAGATACAGATTGAACATCTTAAGATGTATGCTATAATTTTCAGGAGACTCCATAAGTAATAAAAGATTCAAATGAACTCAGTAACAAAATACACTACCAAGAGATACTTCGACAAAGCAATACAAGGCACAGAAAATTAGTCAGCTGATCTCTGACATTGAGAAACTGCAAGTGATACCGGGGACAGGAACTTCAAACTACATGAGTTCAGTCCTTGCCTCCAAAAGAGAAGCACAACTTGGCTAAGGACAATAGTTAATGTGTTCTGGGTTTCACAAGGATCATTCTGACAAATGGGCTTGATGTGCCCAGCTTACCCTATTTTCAACAAAAAGCAAACGAATTGTCATTCTTTTAACATACTTTTTTTTAGCTATCAAGTATATACAGATAAATTTTAATGAAAAATCTATCCACTAAGATTTAGAAATCAACAAAAATAAGCCACAGGAATAGTTAAAAAAAAAAAAAAAGTTTAACACACACAGATACAAGTAACTTGTCACATTCTCATATTCAACCAATCTTACATGTTATATTTACTGGAATTAGAAGGTTACTAGCTTTGTCTGGCAGTATTTCTCTTATTCTATTAGAGAAAAATGTTATTTTAATTATAATTATAAATATGTTATAGAAGTGACCCAAATCTTGGAGTTCTGAATAACTCAATATCAATATCTAGACAAAACTATGATTCTTAAGTTTAAGGTCTTAAGCTTAGGAAACTTAATTGAGTCAAGCTAGAACTGAGAGCTTTTATGTATGAACTCTGTACATCACTTCAGATTGCTCTTCCTTGGTTCCATTTCATAAAAACTGAAGAACTATCAATTACCTGTCCCTCCAAGGTAGTGTTCAAGTTAATATCCATATAGTTTTGGAATCTTTTCATGAAGAACACTGCAAAAAGAGATAAGCATTTTTACTAGTTTGCATAAAGAGGAACTGATTATGTACAAACCAGCAGCCACTACACCTCTATACATTCTGGGCACAGAATGTGTCCAGTACTTCTGATTACAGCCCATGAGCTGGGTAGTGTTCTCAGCCAACCCCATGCTCTGCCTCCTCCATTTTGTAACTACCCAGACCACTGCAGCCACACGTCCCATAAAAGTCTTGCAGTTGGGTTCCCCCAACATCATTTCCACCAACATTAAATGATCAATCGGTAGATCAGAAGCTACTTAAAAAAATGGAAAGATATACTTTCGAAGTAAAAATTGTTTTGCTTTTGAGAATCTAACTGTGATTTTATAAAGTTCTTTTTTTCCTTCATGTTAGCTGCTTTGCTTATCTGTATGATTTGTGTAAAATTGCTTGCTGCCACTCAAATTCAACTGTGCTCATTCACAGCTATAACTAAGGAGCAATACAAGGTGTTAAGCTTTGATTCCTGTTATATTTGGGTAAGCACATCTGGGAAGTTGAAAATTCTCAAAAGAAGCTTAGGTCACTAGAGCCCCAATCAAACATAAAATCAGGAATTGAATGTTGAAAGTTCCCTGGAAAAGGATGCTTTCCTGTCTCTTGTATTTGTGTTGCTTACACTCTAATGCACACAGTCTTCCTGACTAATTTCACTTTACATGTAGAAACTTCGAGGCTAGATTCTAATTTGCTCTGAAGGACACCAACGACTTTTTGGAGTGAAGATTTCAAGAGAAAAGCTGCACAAGTGACATTTTCGTATCAGTAGTGCATAGGAATCTTTTTACAACATGCCTTTTTTAATTGTTACATACACCAAAACTTGTTTCCTAAGAAACTTCTCGGGGGGGGTGGGAGGGGAGGGGGAGGGAGGCAAAACGATCAGCTGGAGAGTGGCAGAATGTTGACTTCGGGGGGCTATCAGAAATCCTTCTGCGGTATCCTCCAGTATACCCAAGACCACCCTAACATTGTAACTGGTATAAAGTCAGCATAGGAACAAAGTAAAATTATTCAGTATAATCAGCTTACTCACTGTGAATTCACTATTTCTACAGACATTTTATTCCTCTTTGAAATTATGAAAGATGTTGCGTATCTCATGAAAACAATCTTTTCTTCCAATTAGGTATCTTAAGAAATCAAATTAAATATCTTTTGCGGAAGAAGATAATTTGCTCCCTCTGCTCCCTCTAGTGTCTTAGTGTAAGAATTACATATACTTTTCAAGAAATACAGTAAATAGACAAACATATATTTTTATAATTTGAATTAATAATATTGCAAAATAGCCCACTGCTGTAAGGTACTGCTGTACCCTACTGAGAAGCTACAGCATTGTTATTCTTTGGGAAAAAAAAAACACAATAAACTATAGTTTGTAAATTTGGTAAAAGATGAAAAGAGATTGAATTCTGTTTTTGAAAGTACTTCCTTGCTTTAATTCCAGAATGTAACTGTAAGTAGGACCTTTTCTCACCTGCACACATCACAGCAATTTGTGAAATTACATTTATTCTCATAAAAGCAGTGTTTTAATTAATAGAATCCTGAACTATCCAGAAGAGAAGATAACCATAGTTTATCTTTGCAAAACAACAGTTCCACTGAAAAGCATGAAAAGTGACATTTTTCATCAATATTTCATCACATTATATATAACACAATAAATTCTCAGTCCTTGACAACTCTGGCTTTATGTAATCTAAGCTAATGCTGTTTCATGTTTCAGCACATGACACCTTTCAACAATGTTGTTAACCA